GCCGCGTCTGCCTCTGGTCTGCCGCTCCTGCTCCGTCTGGTAGAGAGGGGGACCGAGCCTTGACGTGGTCCAAAGCTGGGGAGGAGCTGGAGATGCTCCAGGTGTCCATGTGCGAGGGAAGGCGGGAGGAAAGCAGGGCAGAGCTGAGCATCCCCCATCTTCCATCATCTCCCATCTCCCATCTCCCATCATCTCCACTGCCTGGGAAATAAAGCCAGGCTGAGCAGCTCTGTCCGGGCAAAGCAAGCTGTCCTGTTGGCTGGTGTGGCTGCTGCCTGGACTGCAGGCTCAGGAGTTGGGGCTTTGTTCCTGTAGATGTCACATTTTGCCTCCCTGGATGAGGCTGTTTGTCCCTCTTGGCTTCTCTTGCATTGGGGAATTTCTGCTGGGATAATCCCAGCATCCTTCCATGGCCACTCCCATTTCCCATCTCCACCTTCTGGGGAAGGAGAACGGTCCTACTTCTGTTTTTCTTGACGAAGCACTGGAACAGGCTGCCCAGGAAGGTTGTGGAGTCTCCTTCTCTGGAGATATTCAAGACCCGCCTGGACAAGGTCCTGTGCAGCCTGCTGTAGGTGACCCTGCTTCGGCAGGGGGTTGGACTAGATGACCCACAGAGGTCCCTTCCAACCCCTACTATTCTGTGATTCTGTGATTCCTTCTCCCTCGTCCTTCTCGTTTGGGGCAGCAGATGAGAGTCCTTTCATGTGACATCATTTCTTTTTCCACCTTTTTTTGTCTCTCCATCCATGCCTGCTCTGCTTCTGGTAAACCCCGAGGGGATTTCCCCTTGTGCCGGGCTGAGGTTTGTTGTCACTCAGATCAAAGATGGTTTGGTTGGGTCAGAAGACCCCTCACCTCTCGGGCCGGCTGCTCTGACAGCGCAGCTCGGGGCTCCTGGCCTGTGGCAGGCCCTCCAGAGCCTGAGCAGCGAATTTCCCGCTGCCACCTGAGTCTCAAAGCACGGCTGAACTTCGTGCTGCGAAGCTCCTGGCCCTAGTGGGAGAAGGCGCTGCTTCGAGCATGGTCCTTACAAAGCGTCGCACTTCATCTCTTTGGAGGCTTTTTCTCCACACCTTCCCTGACAGATAACTTTCTCTTAATTTTTTCTTCACTGTTGCCAGAGCCTCTTGTTTTAAACCCCAAAGTTATCACCTTAAGCGCTGATGAACATCACAAACCAAGCTAGCGGTCCTCTTTCCCACACGATGGGTTAGAGGCAGAGTTGCACTTACAGGTGCCGAGGCAATCGGCTTGTACCTCCTCCACAAACAGCTTCTGCCCTTTCTGGTGGGTCACACTAGGAAAAAATACCAAGTTCCTTGGCAAATCTCAGGGTCTTCCAGGGTCCAGAATCACAGAATCACAGAATCACAGAATGGTCGGGGTTGGAAGGGACCTCTGTGGGTCACTCAGTCCAACCCCCCTGCCGAAGCAGGGTCACCCAGAGCAGGCCGCAGAGGACCTTGTCCAGGCAGGTCTTGAATATCTCCAGAGAAGGAGACTCCACAACCTCCCTGGGCAGCCTGGTCCAGTGCTCCGTCACCGTCAGAGGGAAGAAGTTCTTCCTCACGTTCAGCTGGAACTTCCTCTGCTTCAGTTTGTGCCCGTTGCCCATTGTCCTGTTGCTGGGCACCACTGAAAAGAGTCTGGCCCCGTCCTCCTGACACCCACCCTGCAGATATTTGTAAGCATTTCTAAGGTCCCCTCTCAGCCTTCTCTTCTCCAGGCTGAACAAGCCCAGCTCCTTCAGCCTCTCCTTCATAGGAGAGATGCTCCAGTCCCCCCATCATCCTGGTAGCCCTCCGCTGGACTCTGTCCAGTAGCTCCTCATCTTTCTTGAACTGGGGAGCCCAGAACTGGACAGAGTACTGCAGATGAGGCCTCACTAGGGCAGTGTAGAGGGGAAAATGCTGGAAGATGGCTTTCAAGTGTGCGCGTCTAAGAACCTTTCATTCATCACCCAGCCCAAAAGTATTCTCCAGCTTTGCCTTCTCACACCTTCTCACTCCCTTGCCTGCCTCCTGTTTTTTGGCTTCTCCCTGTCTCAGCTGCCCCTGGTCTTTCTGCTTCCCTTTCACAATCCACCAGAAAACAAGAGCTGGGCAGAGCCCATCCACCCACGGAGGCTTTGTGCGTGGCGTGGCTGCCTTTGTAGTGAGCAGTGGCAGGGATCCGTGCCCGGGGGTTGTTACGACAATGGGGCAGCCAAGAGGCCACCGCCCTTCTCACCCTCGGTGCAAGGGATGGGTGGAGGGAGGGGCG